CTGAGGAATCTTGCAAGATCACAGGCTGACTACATCCTAGAAGTACAAACTGCAAGGTGATCATTCAAAAGAGGGTCCTTTTTTATGAAGATGTATCTCTAAAGTACAGTATTATACACAGAGATATGGAAGGACAGCTGATAAAAGGGAACTATTATGCTTTCACTAAAGATAATTCGAAAACAGCTGCGATGGTATATTGTGCTATGAGTTGGAACCGACTCAGCGGCCCCTAACAACAACAAATTATGCTTATAGACTCTATGTTTCTCATCATCAAAGAATAGGTATTTTTCCTAAGCAATAACTTTTCCAGTCTTTCCAACCTAACTCTGTGGAACTTAAAAACTAACAGTTATTATATATATGTTTTAAAAAGTGGAATAGCTAGACTGGTCTCAGGCAGAATTATATATCTATATGCTAATGAACAGGAAAACAAATCTCTCCACAAAGATCTAAGCCAGTTATAAGATTTTTTTTTTAAAAAGAATCAGTGCCATTTTTTGAAGCTTGAGACTTTTCAAACTCGACTTCACAATAATTCCATGTTCTTCCTTTGGGGATAGGAAAGAAAATACATGGCGATTTATGGCTGCCAAAAATCTACTGACCAAGGGTCTAAATAAAAGGCTCTACTCTCTTAAAAATTCTGACTGATGGTGAGAAACGTGCTCACAAAAATAAGAAAAAAAATGGTTTCCTTTTACTTCCCAATTCTCATGCCAACAAAAATGACTCTCTACCACTGATGTTCTTCAATATCAGATTCGAATTGAGCTGACCTCTAGGTGATTGAAGAAGAAAAATGTTTCAACTTTGATGACTTCAGAATTGAAATAGTTGGAATTTCTGTTCTATTTTCATCATTATAATAATAATTATTATTATTTGGAAAACCCCATAAGCAAGCCAGACTGGATTTCTTGAGTACACAGGAGAAACGAGAAAAGTTAACAGAACAGTGACAAGAAAGTAGGACTGTGTCTGCGGCTCAACATTTTAAAATAACATCCTGGTGTGGTGCTGTGGATGAATGCATCAGACTGCAAAATCATTTGAACTGCCAGGTCGGTGGTTCAAGATCACCAGCTGCTCCTTGGAAACGCTATACTGGGTCACTATGGGTTGGAATCGACCCCACAGCACTTAGCAACAACACAGTAGCTGAGGAGTCCTGGTGTGGCGCTGTGGAGTAATGCACTGGATTGCAAGGTCAGCAGCTCGAATTCACCAGCCATTCCTTAGAAACCCTGTGCAGGGTCACTAAGAGTTGAAGCTGACTTTACGGCGCGTAACAACAGAGTTGTGGAGACTAGAACTTACAAAAAAAGGGAATGGAAGGGCTATGTCAGAGGGACAGCCATGAAGATATTGGGGTGTTTTAGAGAACAAGAATGGCTGAGGGTGGTTGTTATCTAAGGAAAATGATACAAGTGGCTGAAATTTCCTCACATGTGTGTATGTGTCAAAATTAGAACACAGGTCTTTCTTTTCCAAGGTTTTAAAATGATCTGAAATTCATTTTAAAGCTCTGGTTCTTTGGGAGAAATTCTATTCAAGAGAAACAATACTTTGGCTAAAGAAAATGAAAGTAATAGGTTAATTTTTAAATAGAAACTTTCTAGACATATTGAGGTGGATGCTAAGTCCAGAGATCATAAGTCTAAAAGTATGAGTTCTCACTCCTGGCTATACACCCAGTAGACGTGAAGAACATTTGAAGAGAAAGATAAAATAGACGGCTATTTAGACCCTATGCTAGAGCAAGTAAATCAGAATCTCTGAGGGTGAGGTTTAGGCAAGAGTACAGTTAAACGCTCCCTACTGTTATTACTGTTAGGTGTCCCCAAGCATATTTTGAGTGCTTTCCAACCTGAGGGGCTCATTTTGCAGCATTATATTTGACAATATTCTGGTGCTCTTCATCATGTTTCAGTATTCAATATTCTGATGTTATTTGACAGTGTTCCATTGCTATTCATAAGGTTTTCAGTGACTAAATATTCAGAAGTAATCCATGTCTCCTTCTTCCTCATCTGTCTTCATTAAGAAGCTCAGCTGAAACCTGTCTGCCTTGGGTGACCCTGCTGGTATTTAAAATACCCATGGCATAGCTTCTAGAATCACAGCAATACACAAGCTACCACAGTACGACAAACTGACAGACGAGTGGAGTTTTACAAATGAGCAATCAGTGCTGAGAACCAATGGATGGACCCAGTGATTCACAAGAGGAAACTCAGCTTTCTCAAACTCTTCACACCAACCTCAATCTTACCAGCTTGTTCTAAAGTATCCAGCATCTTGGACCAAAAGCGGGGTAGGTGGGAAAGGTCAGTAAGAAGGATAGTTTGAAGAGACTCCCCTAAATAAATCCTTTACCATTACCCCCATCTTGAAACTACTGGCCTCAGAATCTAAGAGACATAAAACACCAGATTCTTAAGCCCGAAGGCAAAATCATGAGCCAACTTCAATCTGGCAGGTGTGCCATGATAACCAATCCTCCCTCAGGTGGACACATCTCATTAGCCCAGAAAAATATTTTAAGAGGCACTCAACAATATGTTGTTGTTGTTGTTGTGAAGTGCCGTCGAATTGATTCCGACCCATAGTGACCCTGTGTAGGGTTTCCAAGGAGCAGCTGGTGAGCTTGAACCACCGACCTTGAGTTCAAATGGCTTTGCAATCTGATGCATTAGCCCACAGAATGTAGTGTTCCAATCTCTCTCTGACCACTCAGTCAAGAAAACATTAACAACGGTAGGGTAGCTTCATATATCATTAGGAAAAAAGACCAGGGGAGAGCTCTCCATGTCCGCTATGCAGAGGACTTGTCATGTTGCACTGAGATTGCACTGTGATTGAAGACACTCCTCTTCAGGATTCGGAGCGCCATGGGGGCAGGGACTGTGATCTTTGATCATCTTTGATGATCTTTGATCTCCAGCACAGACAACATGACTGAAATACTTCTCCAAAGAACATGGCGGACAACGAGAGAGAATGATGTGGGAGGGGTTGCCTCAGTGTCCTTCAGAATTCCAGCTCCTTCCTCAGCAGTGCCTACCCAGAACTGTTGTTCTCCAAGGCTCACAGGTAGTCTTGCCACCATCTCTAAATCTTCTTCTTGCCAATTCTCATGTTTTCTGCAGGATTCCCCAATATACTAATTTGGTGCTATCATGTGCTTTATCTATAGCATCTTTTTCCCAGCATCCCTTGATGTAATGACCATTGATACTGAATTACGGTAGGCAGCACTGTGGCCACACAGACAGAAATCACCAGGTGCCTAAAGAAAATGACCCATTCTCCTACTGGCCTGGATTCCACTACTAATATGTCCATGAAACAAAATATGCATAGCGTCTCTATAGTGCCTTTGACTGATTATGATGTATTGCACTGGGCACATCTCCTGCAAAGACCTCTTTGTTGTTGTGAAGTGCCGTCAAGTTGGTTCCGACCCATAGCGACCCTGTATAGGGTTTCCGAGGAGCAGCTGGTGAGCTTGAACCGCCGACCTTGCAGTTCAAATGGCTTTGCAGTCTGGCGCATTAACCCACAGCACCACACCAGGACTCCAGATGGTGTTAAAAACCAAAGCTGTCACTTTGAGGACTAATGTACACCTCACCCAAGCCATGGTATTTTCAATGGCCTTATACGCATGCAAAAGCTGGACAATGAATAAGAAGACCCAAAAAGAACTGATGCTTTTGAATTCTAGTGTTGGTGAGGAATATTAACTATACCATGGAGGGCCAGAAGAAAGAACCAATCTGTCTAGAAAGAACACTCCTTAGAAACCAGGAATGGGAAGACTTTGTTTCAGTATTTGATCAGGTTATCAGGATGGACAAGTCCCTAGAGAAGGACGTCATGATTGGTAATGTGGAGGGTCAGCGAAAAAGATGAAGACCCCCAACAAGATGGATGAACATAGTGACGGCAACAATGAGCTCAAACGTCACACTGATTGTGAGGATGGTTCAGGTTCTATTTTATACACGCTCGCTATGAGTCGGAACCAACTGGACAGCGGCTAACAACAGCAATAATAGCATGGGTTCTTCACCTTTCAACTCCACCTTCCTTGGAATTTCTTCCCCAGACCCTCCATACGCTTCCCTCACAATCATATCCATAGTTGGTGGTGGTGGTGGTGGTGCCGTTGAGTCAGTTTCGACCCACAGCGACCCTGTATAGGGTTTCCGAGGAACCTCTGGTGAGCTTGAACCGCCGCCACACCAGAACTCTGTTATATCCATAGTAAGCCTTGATACAAGACTTCTAGGTACTTAAGTAACAGGCACAAACTATCCATGATCTTCTCAAATCCAAGTGGTTCCCACATCCCTGTCACTAGACTTTCAGTGGGTGCTGTCAGCCTTTAGCTTTATGCTCTAATCAAGATCAAAGTGCTTTGCTTTCTTACAAAGTGTTTCTTGATTTTTTAACACTATGCATAAGAATCCCAGAAGTGTAATGGGGAAACATTCGGGTGCTAACCAAAATGTCAGTGATTGGAACCCATCCAGGGGCTGTAGGGTAGAAAGATCTGGTAATCTGTTCCCATAAAGATTTAAAGCCTTGGAAATCCTATAGGGCAATTCTACTGTGTCATACACATTGGCGAAGAGTTAGAATCAATTTGCTGGCACATAACAGCAGCATTATACAAGATCTTCTTGCTGGAAACAAACCTCATACAGTCTCAACTTGGAATCTACTTTCTCCAAGCAATCTTTCCCACGGGTGCTCTTTTTTTAAAGCTCCCAAGCACCCACTGTATAGCTTTATCATTGGACTTGCCATGTTGTATTGTGATTGGTGAAACTCCTTTATCAGACTCTGAGCTCCATGTAGGCAGGGGACTGTGGTGTGCCACACAGAGACCATGATTTATGCACAAGGGGCTAGACCCAATGGAGTGAATTCATAAGCACTCATCTTTCTGAGCAATTGACCCCTAGGAGGTGAGATTCTCTTACCACTGTGAGGTAAAGTCCACAAACGCGGAGGAGAACTTGTCAGCTGGGAGTTGTGGCGACGGTTCTTCAACCACCTGTTTGAGTTGCTGGAAGGGAGTTCCCCATGAGTCATAGGGAAACCGGAGGATGGCCAACTCAATCTGGGAGCGGGGAGACAACAAGGAGACGACAGTTGAAAACGAAGCTGCTTGAGAGAAGCAGGTGTGTTTTTTTACCCCAGGAAAATCAGGAGGAGGCACAAAGGCAAAGTTCAAATAAAACTATGGGGAGGGGATGACAATGAAGTAAAAATAATATATACTCTAGCAAATTTCCCCAAAATTCCTAGTGATAAGGATTATCAAATATTATCTTACTAGAGAGAATTGTTTTAGTTTATTTAAAACTGGGTCCAAAGATGAAACCCACAGTGGCACTTAATAAAACCAACAGGATGAAAGCATGTTGAAATAACCAGGTTTTTAAATGTTTGGTCTGAAAAGTAATTCTCACCCTAAGACCTTTATAGAGATGGAGATCTGTAGGTCCTTTGCTAGAATGGAAAGAAAATAAACAAAAACCTCAAAATAACCTTTAGGACCAAATGACTGAGCTTTTTTTGGACTTGAGTAAACGCCACTTTGCCATTACAGGGTCATGTGTTTTCTGGGCAGAGGACATGAATAACTCACAGGGTTTAATCAGCTGCTGTCCCTGGGAAGAAGCCAGGGCCAGAGTAGATCATTGTAGATGTTGGTGATACATGGAAAATCTATGATTACTTGGACTGCTAACCAAAAGGTGGGAAGTTCACGTCTATCCAGAAGTGCCTTGAAAGAAAAGCCTGGTCATTTACCTCCAAGCAAAGCAGCCCTTGTAACTTTATGAGGGACTCTGTGTGGCATGGTGGGTTAACACGCTGGACCGCAAAGTTAGTTTGAACCTCAAGATCGGCGGTTCAAGCTCACCAGTTGCTCCTCAGAAACCCTATACAGGGTCGCTACGGGTTGTAACAACTCGATGGCACTTCACAACAACACCTATCACAGGTCTACTCTGATATACACATGGGGTTTGCTATGAGTTGATGTCAACTCATCGATAACTGTTTTGGTTTTTTTGGGTTATTTATTTTTTTTTGGGGGGGGGGTTTCAAAGTTATGGATAAAGCCTTGATGGTAAAATGTCAGTGCCGAGCCTACAGATTTGACGCTAATCGTTATCTTCTCTTGGGTTATACCTTACCTCAATAGTCAAGACTTGTACTCTAACAAAATCGGGAAGTATGTCTATGTCTTGGGTAACACAACCCTATCTGGGGCCACACACATTAGACTCTGAAGAGCTGAAAGCTTCTTACCTTAACCAGAATAATTCAGTTTTTTTAAGAGAAAAAAATCGGGAAGTATGTCTATGTCTTGGGTAACACAACCCTATCTGGGGCCACACACATTAGACTCTGAAGAGCTGAAAGCTTCTTACCTTGACCAGAATAATTCAGTTTTTTTAAGAGGAAAAAAAAAAAAAACTGTAGAAAAATACATTAATGTTAAAAGTCATTTACATGGCAAGTATAAAAATTGTCACAAAGAATCTTTAACTGTCCAACTCAGTGGTATTAATTACAAGGGTGAGTGAAAAATGATCCACACTCTGGCTCTCAAATTTATTTTAATCAACTTTTAGAAAAGACAAATGCATCCTTTTTTGACATAGTATCCTTGCTTTTCTTTTTTTTTTTTTAACTTTTTAAAAATGTATTATTGTGAATTATGTGATAGTTTACATGGGAGAACATTAGTTTTACATTCATCCTATCATATATTGTTTCATTTGCCATGGTTACAATCCTCTCCATGCATCATCAACCAACCAAAGGGTATACGCTGCAAGCCTGACCGCCGGTCGTCAGCACATAGCCCCTCTCCCTCTCTTGGTCTTAAGTCCCCAGCTGCTCCATGTCTTCACATCATCGTCTCTGCCTCTATCTCTGGTGTCACTGCTTCTCTGGGTAGGGTCCCGCTCTCTGCTCTTCTCCCTTGATGGTCCCAGGGACCTCCGTTCCTCGGCTGAAAAGTTAATCATTCCCCTCCTTGCTACCAAACATCTATCTTTACCTTTCCAACCCTCACAATCAGTCCTGATAACAATTATTCACTATTGTATCACAATAGACCTATCCGCATTTCCTTTCATCAGCCCCGCCTAGACAGATTGGCTACTCCTCAGTGGAGATTCTACCTTCCTCCTTCCTCCACGCCCTCTGGATCTAGGCTCCCTCTTGAAAACTTGTAACCCAGTCACTTCTTGACTTTGTAGCCCCCCACTTTGGGTAGCCAATGTCCAAGTTGCCCATCTCTGTCTACTCTGTGTATGGAGGAGGTGGGAATGATCCTTGCTGTAAAGATTTGTTCCCTCTTTTGAGCTACTGCATCCATGGGTGTAGGTCAAGTTCATCAAATTGTATCAGATTACTCTTTTTTTCCTCTTCTTCTTTTAGTTGAGCTCTGATCATCCAGTCATTGAAGCCTGGTCAAGTGGGTATTATCTATAAATGTGGGTGTTCTTGTGCATATGCCCTCTCTTCTTATCAGCTGGATGCTTCACTCTCCACTCTAGTCCTCTGTGGCTATGTCATTGACTCTGGGCTGAAGAGTCCCCAGGTCTTGCCACACTGCTGGTCAACCAGGTCTCCACCTGGCTACACAGGAGTCTATTGAACGTTGTAGGGCTTACTCACAGCTTCATCGCTGTTTTTCCCTCACTTCCCCTTATCGGTGACGAACATGGTCACTAATCAGAGCGTGTATTCCCATTGAGTCTTAGTCTTGGAAGGGAGTTCGCTCTGAGGGGACCCGACCACTTGCCTTGATGCCTCCCGAGTGAGCAACTTGCTTGTTTTTGTAGTAATCAGTCAGTCTGCCTCTATTGTTTTGTATTTTTCCTGTCAGTCTTTCTTTCAGGAAATACCTTCTGTTCTTCTAGCTGCTCCAGGCTGGTCTGCCAGTCCTTTCAAGTGGAAATTTCCCACCTCTGAAGATTCTGGATGCTGTTCAGGATTCCACTTATGTAATGCAGAGGCTCTGCAGGAAGCTTCCTTCACTGGGCACGTTGTAGTCCCATTTTAGTTATTCCAATCAGTTATAGGCAGAAGACGGACTTACAAGCTTTCTATGGTGATATTTCTGGCTATTCCTTTCTCTCCCCCTCCAGTGTCTATTTTA